TGAGAACGTTGAGGGATTGAACAACACAGTGTTTGTTCTAGGATAATAGCACGAGTTTTGCCACTAAATAAAATTATTGATGCAGGATGCTTTATGTGCAAGATACCAAGCAGTGCCATGCTTCTTTCACCCAGAAAAGGCGAAAGCATGACTTCAGTGGTTTATAGGTTTTATGAGCCAGCATGAGAGTTGCTACAGGGTCATTGGATTTTCTAAGTGATACTAAGCTGTGATCATATTCTGTCAACCCTACTTACATTTTTCATTATATTCACTAATGGTATAAAAAATCTGGTGCTCCAAAATGGAAGTTTTCTTTGCCTGTATGTTAGAAGACCTTTGCACTGCTTTTGTCTGATCTCTCCAGTCAGGCATAGCTCAGTTTTTGTTTTTGTTTTTAACTCCCATTACTCTTTTAGTCACTACAGACTTTGGTTTCAGAGTGGAGCTGTGTTCTTGTCATTTTGTAGTTTTTTTTTTCTTTTAATATGTCCTTCTGGAAAAATGTTTGTTTTCTCCAGATGACTCCTCCTTAAAATTCCTGCACAGCTTGCGTGTCTCACTTCTAATTGTATGAAAGATATTTTTTCCTTTTATTCTTCATGTCAAGAAAAAGACTGGTTTTTTTAGATTGTCTGCATATATCGTTAAAATTGTTGGCAGCATGTTGAGAAATGCTAGTTAAATGGTGTTGTTCTAGTGGTTGCTATTTCTCCCATGCTTACCCTTTTCTCTTACAAGTTTTCTCTGACTTCATTAAGAATTCCTGTTCAGGTTGACATTTTATTACCTCGTATTTTGTACAATATTTATTTCTTATGGAGTTCAAAAATTCCTCAGGATTTCTCTTTCTCATCACTATGTTTTGTCCAATTATTTACCCTCATATTTATCGCAAAACAAATTTTGCTAATAAATCTAATGTATTTAGCTTAATATCATTTACTTTTGATCCACTGAGTTTGGAATGAGAATGAATTTTGATTCTGCCATAGATCAGCTTTTCGTCCTTCTTTCATTTTACCTCCATTCTCTCACTTTATTTTATTCTCTAAAAAACTAATTTCTGTTAGAGCTGTCAGATTAGAAGATTTTGGAACAAAACTAGTTCACTTTTAAGGAAGATAAAACCAAGATCTGTGTTTCAATGAGAAAACACTAAGATTTCCCTCTAAATTTTTGTTTTCTCCATGTCCTACATCTTCCCCAGCCTTGCCAATGAAAACAGACAAGTCAGTGTTATCCTGCAGTTGATTTGTGGAAAGTATTTGATTTCACTAAAGTAAATGAGAAAATTAAAGAGAAACTGCCTCAAGATTTACTTAATGTATGAGAATCCTGTGTGGCAATTGGCTGCATAAGCCGGAGTGACAATTTGCAGAGGAGGAAAAAGCAAGCCTACAGCTGTTCTGGATTAAGGAACATGTAACAGAAACAGTGTCTTCATGAAAAAGGAACCAGCCTTAAAAAAAAAAAAAAAGGATTGAGCATAAAATTCATCTGTGTTAATAAAATGATAAAATAAGAGCAAGATTTCTGACTCCTAAGAGCACAGCAAAACACCCGACCTAAAAATGATGTGTATGATGGAGTATGTTGTTTAGTCATCAGGATTATTAGATAGCACTAAGCTGTACCACCAGTAGTACAACCTTTTCATCTCTGGAGGCCTGCATTATTATTAATATTTTTTTAAATCTAAATTGGATCTTAAATGTTTGCGCACTTTCAGGTTAGCAGAATACAGGCTGCAGGGCACTATAAAACACCCCGTGTGACAGAAAAATTCAGTGCACTGAATACTCGACTTTGTGCAAGTAGATAGTGCCAACTGAGAGGGCTCCTTCCCATCGGGAACTGAGGGGTGCTGGCGGAGGTAAGAGTAAAATCCGCACAGTGCCTGCTTATGCTATGCATGACTAGCTGATAATCTCAGTCCTTCACTAGAGCACCGTATTTCACTCAGAGGATATTTTTAAAACGTCAACTGGTCAAGGATCAGCCCTGTTCACTAACAGAGGCTTGATGGTCAAACTGAACTGGTAAGTCTCTCCTAAAAAATCACAGGAAGGTCTAGAAAAGGAAACTGTTCTTAGTGAAGGCTACCCTGCTAAAAAGAGGGAAGAAGGTGGGAGAAACAACAGGTTAAGCAGGAGAAAAAAGGAGCAAAAAAAGAATGAAAGGATTGTTCAGTGCCTGCCTGTGTGGATCCAGGAGCACATTAAATCAGAGTGTAATGCTGAGATATGAAAGAAGAAAAAATTAATACCCAAAACACATTATGCAAGAAACCATGCTATTTAGCTGTGTTAGGAGAGGAGGTGAACTGAATATGCTAAATAAAAAGCCTAGAACAGAAAAATGACCCCCTAATTTGGAAAAGGAAATCATCCCATAAAAGCAGTGGTCTTCTTTAATGCTATTCTGTTTTCTCCCCAGTATCATCAAACGTTTATTCATTATAGCTAACAGATAAATACCAACTTAGCACAATCATTGTAAACACTGTTTTTCAGATTTCTCATAGTATTAAATATATCTCGTTAAGTTATCTTGCATTCTGCTGACATTTCTGTAGCAGCTGAAACAAATAATTCTATGGAAATATAATAAAGATAAGGCCATCTTGCATGCGTGTTATCATGCAGTCTTTTATTGTGCGCTCACATTCTGATTTTTTAACTGGCTCCTCTCCCCTATTTAAACTACTGTTTTCTTGCTCTAGATACCGAATTATTCATTTCCTCTTAGTTTATTTCCTTCTGCACTTTTGTAGTGTGTGCACACTTTGTAAGTATTTATCTTTGAAATTTTCCTGTGTTACGAAGGAACGCTACGATTTTTCTTAGGCAGATGATGCATGAAGATCAGGGTGGTTGCAGTTAAAAGTATTTGCTCATTTTGGATACTTATCTCGGAAAAAAGTTAAGGTCTGTCTTTTTCATGAGCATTTAGCATTCCCTTTCCCTTTACGTATCAAGCTTACAACAGTGAATAATGTGAACGTGACATTTTTAGCCCTAGAGCTTTTGCACGTAGTTCACAATATGCCTTTACGACCAGCTTCCGTAGACAAACAGTATTAAGACATAAACCGCTGCTTGATGACTTTAAAGCTATTTTCTTCCTGGAGGGACGTTGCCTTAGAGCATCTATGAGGCCTATAGAGGTTGGCCCGTTCCTTTTGCTTCGGTCCAATTTTTCTAGCTTCCTGCTCTGTGAAAACCCATATAACTATTTCCTGCGTGTTGTTGCCTCCTCCCTTCTCCTAAACTATCTGCCTGCTCTTACCTTCTTTTCTTCTGTCCCTACCTCTGTTCCTACTTTTGCCCCTATATGCTAGTGTTCCAGATGCACAGCTCTTTTTTTTCTCTCTCTCGCTCTACTGAAGGGCAACAAGAGATGAGTGATTGTTTTGTAAGGCACCTGCTTTGTACACTAGCACACTTATTCCACAGCCTGGATAAAGACTTTACCGGGAAAGAACCTCTCAATTTCTGAAGTAATGTTGGAAAATCCTCATCACAGGCTGTCCCAGAACAATGATCATGACGCAAACTAGCACTCTTTGACCTACATCAGTACCTCTGATTATTCAGAGAACGTAGCTGCTAAATTCAAACTGGTCTCTTCTGAATGGTTGTGAAATGTGATTTTTGAAAAACAAAAATGTGTGTCAAGTCTGGGAGAATTTCCACAGGGTTATATTAGAAATGTTAGCATAGGAACATCCAACCTGGTGAACTACTGAGCAGTTCCAGGGCAGCTCTGCTACCAGAACTGTTGGATGTAACCGGCTGGTGCACAGACAGTTTGGCCAGCCCAGATCTGCAGCCGTGGAAGGAAGTGAGCCTGCAGTGATTGCTTAAGGTTGATATTGCCAGATGGTGTAGGACCCTGGCTGCAAACCCAGCCCCCATTTAGCCCTGTCTCCCCACAGAATGGGGGGATCTCCAGGGAGTTCTTGTTGTGTGCAACCCGTGGTTGACCCTCCTCTTGGAGCTTCCCTTTCTCCTGTGTCTCAGGAGTACAGTATTTATTGCATGGCTCTGAGCCACATCGAGATTTAGGTTTACTGCTCAAGAGGATAGAAAGGTTGGCCAGCCTGGTGCTAAGCCATCTACTAAAATTGACTGAAATGGTTTTAAGCCTGAGCAGAAGATGGGTGACTTTCCTGTAATTGTGTTTTGGACACTTTTTCAAAGAAGAAAAATGCAGAAAATTTCAACTGGAAGCATTCTCTTTCGCAAAGGTAGAAGCAAGTGAACATGGAGCTTACCATGCAAGAGTCAAGGAACAATTTTAACCTTCTGTAAAATTGATGTGGTTTGTATTACTATTCCTGTTTGTTACCAACACAGCTGTACTAATTTTTTCCATCATTTAGAGTCATTGATATAGTAGTTCATTTGTTGTTATTGTGAGCGACTTAGCTGAACATTGTTTTGTTATGCGTCCCACAATGAGCTGTTCAAAAAATGCTTCAAAAGAAGATGCTTGATAGTGATCAGGTGTATAATGCCTTCTAAATTGGACTGTGATGAAATTTAATAATTTCAAACGTAGTTCTAATGTGTCAAGGTGTTTTTTTGAGAGCATGGGAAATAAAGGAGCTTTATTACCTCTTGGGATATGTGATGTTTAATTAAGTTATTGCATTTCTCTAACACGAAATCAGAGAGACGTAATGTCATACGTGCTCAAAATGTTTACTGATTTAATAGATCAAATGGTGAGATAGTGTTTAGCTTTAGACACAGACAAGCTCTTAAAGCCTTACAGCATGTTTATTGTTCTTTCCTAGCTGTTCCATATGATAATGTAATGCAGGGTGATTGCTGACATTTTTATCTGCTAGATTACATTGTTAACCTGGCACTCCAGTAAATTGTCATGTTCTAGCAAAAAAGCAGGACGTTATGTGAAAGAGCACTTCAGCACCCAAATCTCTTCAGCATACAGGCACATTACATTTTTCGTTTTATTTTACTATTTTGTAGGACTGCATTGATGTCGGTTGGTGGGAAGGAGAGCTCAATGGCAGACGGGGAGTGTTTCCAGATAATTTTGTCAAGCTTCTTCCCTCTGATTTTGAAAAAGAGGTAAGTAGTGTATTCCTTCAGCTTCGCTTTAAAATACAGAATGAAAATGGAGTTGAAATTCTATTTGGAATATGAGATTTAGATGAAGTTTTGCTTCTAACTTAATAACAGGAAAGTGTTGAGAGAAAAAAAATTCTGGGTTACAAAGCATCTGCAAGCCGTGTGGCACTCAAAGTCATATTGGGCGATTTCTTTGAAGGGTTTCATGTGGCCTGTCCAGTCAGTCAGCCTCCATTACGTCATTCTTAAAGCCCTCCAGCCCCTGTTCTTAGTTTGAGAGGCAGAAAAACTGGAGATCACAGTGTAATTTGCTGGGGCAGGTGGTGCAAAGGTGATCAGAATTGTTAACTTGGCTCCATTATTTTTGTGGTAGAGTGTGAAATATTAGTAGTACCACCTGCTGTAGATGGATGTCATCCTATCTTGCCAAGCTGTCATAGTTGCAAGCACTCTCCCAGAATTAAAAGGGTGAAATTCTAACTGTGAAATTTGAAGGAGAATGGTGAACATTTGGAGTCACGGAGACATGTTTCTTTACCCTATCAGAAATATTTTAAAAAGGAAAGTAAAAAAACTACAAATAAAGTTTTTTCAGCTTATATTGATTTGAAAGTTGAAGGCAGAGTTGTTATTTCCCAAACAGCATTTAGAAATACTGCAGCTTCCTGGAAGAAAGTAATGGATTACTTCCTCCCAAAAGTCCATTCTGTTTTCAGGAATCCATTTTCAGTCATCAGTGTGGTATTATGAGCTTGTGATCAGGCTTTTGATGAGTATTTCACAGTGACTGTGTAAGCCTTCTGTGATAAAACAAAGACTTACGCTCTGCTTCAATCTTTGGCAATAAAACTGGATGCTGGAGGCAAAAATGAAATAACTTGGAAAGCTTGACAAAGGAAGTGTGAAACAACTTACAGAAGTTAACATGATAATTACTGAAAATGAAGGTAGAAGAGCAGCAAAAACTGTTGGAGATTAAAATGCAATTCCGTATCACAGTGGATATCCTGGCTTTAGGCCTAGTGATAAAAGAAGATGATTTTCAGAAGAGGCAGAAATCATAAACCTTAAGACATTGCGAGTCTTCAAATAATATTACAGAAGAAGAGAAATCTTTGCTCTTATCTAGTGTTGCTGTGGTAAAATTTATTCAGTCTTAAACTAATAAATGATATGTCTTTAAGGTTCAGACACTTAGAACAGAGAAATTGCAAAGTTATCTAACATTTCCCTTTTAACATCTGAAGTCTTTTCTAACCTTTTCCAGTTGCTGCTAGCCCAAACACAGGCTTCCACGTGATAAAGTAATATTCTGAAGAGTTAGAAGCAATCGTCTTTTTGCTGCAGCCTATCATTTTCTTTATTATATACAGAATACATACCTTCAGTTGAATCTATACATGTTCACTGTTTCTGAAAATCTGTGTCCATTTTAAAGCCTACCGAGATAATTAGTGTCCTGCCTTTCAACACTCAAGCTTTTTGGGGCAAAAAGCAAAAAATTTTAATAATGTGACTGCTTGTTGCAAACAGTCTGTAAGAGAGCTGTGAATAGTCCAAAAATTCTGTGGTAAAATGACCAGACCATCCTTTCTTTTTAGTAATGCCTGAGATTTACTTCATTTAGGAAAATTCAGAAGCGTTCTCTTTGTACATTCCATCTGCAGCAGGTAAAAGAGTGCAACTGAATGAATTTTGCAGTAAAGCTTGTAGCTCTTTTCACCGTTATGTCATCTCTCTGCACATAAGCGCTATTTGACTGAGTATAATCTCCTATGTGGAATCCAGCTAAACTGAAAAATCTTTTATTAAATAGTTCATTTCATTAATAAGCTAATATGAATTGAGGAATAAAACCAAAAAAAAAAAAAAAGGTAGGCTTTGTGTGCTATCTCAACTGCCGCTACCGCATCCAAATCCTCTCTTCTCATCTCTCATATTCTGCAGACTGTGTATGCTATCTTCTTAAAATTTCTTTACAAAACTTTCATCCTTGTGAATTGTTTCAGTGGCTGAGTGATAGAAGAAAAACTCAGATGTTCTCTGAGACTGGATTTTTTCTTGTGTTGTTGAACTGGATAAGAAGATACGTTCTGAAAAATTATCTTGGTTTTCTCTGATTCCACATTGAAAAGCGTTCAGAGAACTGTGGTTTAAGTTTTGTATCTGAATTTCAGTCACTTTGGAATATTCACATGAACGTAGTATGTATTTCAGATTTTTAATACTAGAAACGCCAGTTTCTCATTTGAATTTGTGCATGAAAATGGCAGTATTAATGAGTAGTAATGATTATTCTCAGTAGACTCACTAAGGAACCAATAAGAAATAATAATCACAATTGCTTATGGTAGCCACAGGCCCAAAGAAGAAAGGAAATTGATTGCATTTTTGACAGAGAAAAGCACAAAATTACCTGTCTTTAGATCTGGAAGAGAGGCTAGAGATGGAGTCAGGAAAAAAGCCAGCTAGGTGTCCGGTAAACATAGAGAATAAAATTTTTTAAAGTTCGGAATGGCACAGATCTGGCCACTTTAGAAAGTAACTTGCAGAACTGTAGACTGTCTTTCTTTGCATAAATCAGTGCTAAAAGGGAAAGAAATGGATACTTGTCCAGTGTTTTTGTCAGGTATTTTCTGGTATGATCCAGAGACTTTGGATTCTGTCCCAAGGTCTGAAAGCATATTTGTTGTAGTGGTTCCGCTTGTTGAGCAAAAAGCTCAGGGCCCTTTCCCACCATCTTGTTCACACTGCTATTTTCCAATACTGTTTTTTTTCCACACGTGGCTACCTGTCTCAGGTCTCTTCTATGCGCTGTCCTGTCCCAGTCTCTGCCTCTCATGTGTCTCAGTGGCAGTATTTTGCCCTGAACTCACTACCTGATCAAAATGACTATCCGTAAGGACTTTCTCTCTTTACATCCAGTCTCTCCATCCAGCCAGTTTTTCGCTCCCCACGTGCTCCTTGGGCCTGCTTTGTAGTTCTATTTTCTTTCTGTCCTGTCAGTCCCAGTTTCTTCTCTGTTGGCTTCACATCCCATCCAGCTCCATCACCTTCTTGGTTATCTCATCCCGCGGCTGACCTTTACAATTCCTCTTTGGTTCTGCATGTTTCCCTCTACAGTCTTAACGCTCCGTCAGGCAAGCTCCTTTTTCTGATGTTTCTCTGCCTTTTCAAAATAGTGTATTGCCCTCGCCAGCTTCCAGTTAAAGCCAATTTGTCTAACAAACCCTCGGATTGTCTCTCTGTGGTGTGTCTATGTTAGCATTTTAGTTTCCATCAGGAGCGAGGTTTGTAGTGAATCTCTCACTTGTCCCTTTCCAGTTACTGTGCTTTGGTTTGCCGCACAGTCAGGTCCTGGAGTGATGAATTCATGAACTAGACGCCTTTCAGATGAGAACTAAACCACAGGCTATGATGAAAGAGTGCACCTCATTTATTGCAACTGCTGGTGGCTGGTCAGTCAAACTAGTCCAAAATAAACGCCAGGATTTGTACATTGTGCAGTCGGATCCTCAGCACCAGCTGCTTTGCTCCTCAGCCGTTAATCCACCTACATTCAGTTGCCTCCACAAGACAGTGTCTGTGTCTCCTTTCCCCTTTTCCACCTTTTTTCCTTCATCTGTCAGCAACTGAACCTTCAACCATGTTGCCTAAATTCCTGCAGAAGTGTCTCTGAGAGTATGAGGGACTCACTGTTCTCAGTCTTGGCCCATTGCAGCCAGGACAGAGAGGATCATTTTGAGTTCCTGTATCCTTGGCCAGAACTTTTATCAGTTTGATCTCAGGAGATTCACAGGTGCTAGAAGAAACCTGAGACTTGGAGGATGACATCTACAGAGATTTAAACTGTTAAGCTTACTCAGTCTGTGCAAAACTATATTTTACCTTTTTTTAATTATACAAAGAAAACAATTACAAATTTTTAATTTTGTTTTGTTCTAAATAACATCGATTTTTTTTTTTAAGGGTAAGTATTAAAGTAGTTAAAGTATTAAAGTCGTTTGGTCTAGTGCAGTGCTCCATTTTGTATTCATTCCAAGATATATACAGTGAATGTCTGTGTGGTGTGCATGTGTATGCACATGACAACAGAGAAGAAAAGCCACTCTGCATTTAACCTGCAGATGAAGGGAAATGGTTCTGGAACTGACTGGGTGATCATGTTTATCATCCATACTGTTACAGATCTATTAGGCAAGCAGTAATAACAGAGAAGGTAAAAAGTAAATTATGCAGATGGATTGGCATAATTTATTTCATTTCAGCAAAATATCTAAAACTTTGATAACTGGTATCACAGCAAGTGAATAAAATGTAACCTTTGCAGCATTTCCTGTGTTCTGCATTTATGCCCTATTTATGAGGCAGAAAGACACACTTCAGCTCCTACCACATCTACCTGTTTTTTTTTTTTCAAAATGGAATATTTACAAGATTAAATTTTAATAAAATAGATTTCTTCAGTATACCAAAGGTCATGTATTTCACTAATCTTAAACCACATAAACAGGACTTTTTTTTCCTGAGCAGGAAATTTAAATGATAAAAGCAGAAAAATGTCATTGTATATGTCGATTCTACTTTCTCTCTTAAACTTTACTTTAATGAAGTTACTTGTGAAATATAGGACAGATCTGTGGACTCAAGTCATGTAATTCTCAATGTTAAGCAAGGTCTAGTTACACTCAACCTTTGTGTGAATAAGATTTGTGTGAATTTTGAAGCAACCTATTTTCTTCTGTTATTAAATTTTAGAGACCTAAGAAACCACCACCTCCATCGGCACCTGTCATCAAACAAGGATCAGGTAAGGTGTAGCTGATTTTATACAGCACGTGTCAGTAGACACATCTCAGTCTAAATATGTGTATTCAAATTGAAATAGAAGTCATCTGGATCAAAACTGATAGGCAGGAAGCGTATAAACAACACGTAAATCAGAATCAAAATGCAAAAAGATGAAATAACCCTGAAAGACTGTGATCTGTTGTTTTGAATCTGTTACAGGCAACCAACCATCTGCACCATTTTAAAACTGCACCAGTTTAAATTTTAAAAGTAAGTTCTCCAGTTCTGGATGAGGCAGTTCTTGACTTAAGTTGGTTGTTTTCATGTATGCAGTATTAGGCCCTAAATACTGGAATCTAGTTTGTAGCAGGAAACCGCATCCACTTTGCACCTATAGATCTGATCTCTTCTAGAGATAAAGAGCCTTTTTCTGATCGTATTAGGCAACTTGGCTATAATTCGGTGGCCCCATCTGAGTTACAATTTAGATCTTACAGATCTGCATGAATGCTGGAGCCCAACTGTCTGTCTCCAGGTTGTATGCTATAATGACAGATTCATGTTTTTCTGTACACTTCTAAGTATAAAGCTAAAGGAGTTACCTTGACTCTGATTATGTAGACAATTGTTTTGCAAATGTATTGAGAGGCTGAGCATGTTTTCCAAATGAATGAGTGTTACCAAAGCTATTTTTGAAATATGTTAGACTGGGTTGAAAGCCAATATGGAAAGCCAAAGGCTCTTTTATTTGGAGTTTAAATGAGGCCTTTCAATAAAAATTTTCAAAAGTGCCTGGGTGATTTAGATTAGTAAATTCTGCAGCAGCTTTACCACTTCCCCCACTGCTGGGACATGTTAGGAAGAAGAAAACTAACATAGCCAATCTAGTCATATTTCTGTTTTTCTTTTCGCTGCGGTCTGTTCCAACTTTCAGTGCTTTAAAAAGTAAATTTCCCCCTCCTACAATCTTGACTTATTAATAGAAGAAGTAGTTGCACCGGTACAATTGACTGTGAATCAATAGATTATAATTCACATAGTTTAATTCTACCAAGCAGTTCTTTGACTATGGAATCGTGACTATGAATTTGTTGTTTGCTTATTGGCCTCCATGGTTTATTCTCCATTTCTTCTTGAGACTCCTAAAAACATAGAGAAGACTTAATTTTAAGATTTTTGATCTAACAGGATGATTGTCCCGAGAGAGCAGTATAACTTTGCCATCTAGTGGTGGCTGCATATTAAAGATGTCTTAGTGACAACAAAAATTATCACCTCATATAAGTTTTGGAAAACTTCTATAAAAAGTTACATTTCTCTCAGTTTATACTCCTCTCATATTTCCCTAATGTAAAATGGGAAAATAATACTTTTAACTTGTTTCTTCCTGTTTGCATCCATAACATTTACTGTTTCGGCATAGCAGAGTAATATGCCCATTTGCAGAAGGAAAAACAGATGTATAAGGGATGCCGACAGTTTGTTTACGGCCACCTGAGCGTGTGGCAAAGCCAAGGCTACTGTTCTTTGTTTTCGTATTCTGTCTTGACTAGTCCTTGTTGAGTTTGCACAAGAGTTTCTTCTGAAATGCATTTAGAGATGAAAATCATTCTGTTCTTATTACCATCCTGCCATTCTCTACAGTATGAAATTATCACTTCACCAGGATGACACGGTGTTTTACCGCTTCTGCACATGGCAGGCTTTGCTGTTAATAGTAGATAACAATTGCCAGTACTGTTTCTGCATGTTTAGCCTGTCGTAGCATGACGAATAAACTGAGAACTGTCACTTGCAGGCTAAATAATTAAATATCAGCATGTTCTGATGCAGAGTATAAAGTCAAAGCGGAGAAGTAGAACTGGTCTTTGTCTATAGCACAGCTGCTACCCATGTAAAGGAGGGGGCTAGTCTGTGTTATAGTGAAGGTGGAAATTTATGCTGATAGTTTTAAGCTGTAAGCAACCATCAGGGCCGTCTGTGTTAAGCTGCTTTACGAATTAAGGTGAAAACCTTAAAAAAAAATTAAAAGTGCAAGTTCCTTACATAGTCATTGAAGAGAGACAGGCATTTAACTGGATATCTAGGGTAAGCAGTATAGCTGCATGTAGACTGAAGGGTGGGAATATTCTGTTGAATGCCTTTGGGGACTTGCCTGAAGTTCACCTGAGCTTTCTTACAGCCACCGTGCTCCGGTGGCCTTCTCCTGGCAGCTCCGCCGGAGGAGCATGATACCTGCCTGGTACCTGCATTATTGGGGTCAGGGAGTGCTCAGGTAAAGAGTACACCCGAGTTTGGGAGTTTGGCTCATAAGTGTTTGTAGGTCTGTTGTCTGAGACATAGCGTAGGAGTGTCTCTCGGTGTATTGATGATGTCCATGAATCATACGGTAATTATGCATGGGTGGCTACCTAGGTATAGGTGCCGTTTCTCCTTGAACACAGTAATCTGTGCAAGACTGTCAGGATGTGCTTGATATAACCCATGCGTTTAGAATGGCTTTAATTGGATACTAGCAGCAGTTTCTTCCTTCAGGAGTAAAATATTGTTATGGCGATTCAGTAGTATTTATTGGCATGATAGGTTGTACAAGTGTTGCCTGTTCAATAGCACAGTTACATGAACAAACAGTAGCCAATAATCACCACTGATGAGCAATTTGCACTGGTGATTACTGATTTCTAGGAACCAGCTGCAGAAGAGAGTTGTGACTGCACATTGAGAAAATGCAAATATATTTAAGAACTGCATACAGTAGAACACACTGAAGCAAAAAATTGCCTTGTACTCCCTACCCTACCTCCTCTGTTTTTCTTGGATGTCATCTACTGTAATTTTTATTGAAATACTAATAGTATTACCTAAAGCAGTTTTCAGCACTGCTAAGTTGAAATGGTATTAGCACCTAGTAGCTAGCCAATGCAATGAAGCCAAAATCCAGAATAGTGCTTCTTATAAAATGGGGGCTGGAAGATTGCATCTTGCATGTGCCAGGAAATTTCTGCAAAATCTTCCCATTGTTGCTGCCACTAGTTCTCTTATACTCCTCAGAGTAACCGAAGCCAGTATGTCAGGGTCCCTAGCATTTCTAAGACTATGGTAACCTTCCAAGGTAAGCAGACGCTTACCTGAACGCCTCTAGGCCAAAAACTCTCATTTAAAATGCCTGTAGTCACTAAGAACACTGTTGTTACTAGTATTCTCATCCTTTTCATGTGTGGAGTGTGTGTTTGTTTTTTTTTAACTTAATGGGAAATAAAACCTGTATATTCATCTATCTACAATATTTTACTGGCAGAAATGCCCAATTAATTGATCTGTTACAAATGAGTTTCCTGACTACTAAATTGCTCTTCAGTTTAGTATGTCTACAGAGTTAAAGGATTACACTAAAGGATCACAAAATTTAAATTTCTGTCCTCATTTAAAGATCTGTAATTACTGAAAATTTTCACAGAATGGTGAAAATGGTGAATGAGTATGATCTTTTCCTTGCAAAAGGTTCCCTCTTTGCAAAGTGTGAAGTTGGTGGTGAAAACATAAACATGCGATTGCTTTTGTGGCCTTTATGATGTAAGCAATTATATTTGAAAATAGCTTTAGAGTCAGTTTTAGCCAGAAAATTTCAGAGCAGGAAAATCTAAAAAGTGTAAGAAATTTCAAAATTAAATCTCATATAGCCTTATATCGGGGCTTGTTGGCTTGTCAGAATTCCATATTTTCTGTTCTTTGACAGGCATCGTCGATCGGAAGCATGAAATCAAAAAGGTACCTCCTGAAAGGCCAGAATGCCTTCCTAATCGAACGGAAGAAAAAGGTATGAAATATGCTTTCTTGCTTGATTTTTACAGAAAGAAAAGGTGAATGGAACTGAGATACATCCTCATTTCCTAGTTCCTCAGTAGGTTGATTTTATTAAGAATATTTGTTTGGATGTTTCTTTTCCACTCTAATAGATCTGTGATTATATGCATTTTGGAAAAAATCCCATGGTTGCTTTGAGGCTGAATTCAGGGACTTCAGTTGTAGTGGATATTGTACCAATCCAGAGGTGTTACTTGTACCAGCAGCCTCAACAGAAGACAAGGGGAGATATGCTCTCAATACATAAAATGCTATCAAAAGCTCAGTGCTCAGTAGAACCCCGGTCCTCAGTGAAGTAAGGTACACCAGTCTAGTGCATAGTTACGTCTTAACATCTGTATGCTTTGATTCTCTAGTTACAAGAGGGTTGACAATTCTTCTGCGCCATGTAGGGATTTTGTGAAGTTATAGTCATTAATGCTTATGAATCACTCCATTATAATAGTGACAAACGCTCTCAGGCAAGCCTGCGAAGAAATAAAAAAACTCTGTCTTCAAAGCCAGGTTTGAACACTGTGCAGAAAATGAGGCATGGTACCATCGCGAGCCCTGCTGAGAGAATGAGACCTTTAGTGGCTGTTCTTTGTGCGTTCTGAATAGTACTGGGAGAACAGTTGCGTTGACCGTCTAATTGAAGATGGTGTCAAGTTACATATGCCTGAGTGGACTGTTAGGTGGTATAGACAGACTTAATTACAGGATTCCTTAACTTTTAAGGGTTTGAATTTGCAACCTGAAAAAAGGCACATGAATGCACATGAGTAAGTGTAAAATATGCGGGTATAATTTAGTGCCAGAACATTCAGGTTCTGCACCAAGGTCTGTTTCTGGATAAATGTCTAAGCGATCTGGCAGGTGTTGGTTTAGCACTTTTATCTGCATACATTTAGTTTTGGTAATGTGCAGTACTTGATGTGGCTTTCCATTTTTGGATTTAGAAAGCCAACTGCTGAAATGGTAGAAGTTTAAATATATTATTGTCCCAGGGTATAAATATCTGTAACTTTTCTAGATACGGAAAACCGGGCAATAGGAATCACGTCTACATTTGTAGAATACCAGGGCTTGAGAGGAGTTGCTCACTGTGGTATGGCAGTATGGGTGGGCACAGGAATTTTCTTTATACTGTGTTGGTACAGGACAAAGCCTAGCCGGTCCCTGATGCATAGCTTCGATTCTTGGACACTGACGCAGTATAAATAGTCATAGGAATAAGGGTGTGAAAATTGTACAATACTTTGGAATAGCTTCCAGGTACGTTACAGAGGACCAGCTGATTAGGTCAAGTAAAAGTGTTCTGAATAAAGACTATAAGGCAGTGAACAATAATCACTTGCTGGACTATTACAAATCTAGTATTTATTGTGTATTGCTGTCAACTTTGATTCCTATACTGATTTATTCTGTGCCTGGGATACTCACATGCTATACCTTCTCATAGCATTCAGCTTATATTCTTTATTTAAATAGAAATTTGAAGTGTGAGTTTTCACTGTCTTTACTAGACTGCCTAGTAGCCCACTGGTATGTTCCTAGCTAGTGCAGCCCAAACCATTTAGAGTGTTTGAATCACTTAAAAACACAGCAATAAATTGGTCCTTAGCTATCTGAACGCTATTTCTTTACTGAGTTAAAGGCAAACATTGAAATGCATTATGCCACCATTTCATTTAAGTTTTTCTGCTAGTATTTTCAGGAAAGAGAAATTTCCGTTGATTAATTCTGTGACCTGTGATTCTCTCAGACATAAACCTAGAACCCATAAAGTAATATCCTTTAATATTCCAAACACCTCTTATGTGTACGCAAAGGTATAATACTCGCAACGTATCATAGACAGTATTGTCAAAGGAAGTGGGAGTGTTGACAGAGCCAGATACGGAGAGTGAAACTCAGATCCCACTGAGAGTTTTGTACTTGACTTAAGAGGCATCCAGTTTTCTATGGTGTGGCAAATCTGTTTAGTTTCTTCTATGTTTGTTTGTTCTGTGTTTTGAATGTAGAGCTTATTATGTACAAGAGTTATTCAGGTGAATCGTGCTTGACATAATCACAGGCACTGCATGTTTGGCACTGGGCTATTAATGTTGTGACACTTTCTAACTATGCATAACCTGTTCTCCAAGTGATCTGATTTTTTCATTGGGAAGCTGAAAAACTAAGCTTAGAAGTCTGTGCTTAAACACGTACATAAAAGATCTGATTTTTTCAGAGGGGTTTACATCCTGCACCTGCTCTTGAGCATATCGGTGAGGGATTTTGTTGCTCTAACTGCATGTTTAGATTTTGGCCTGGCATTGCTGAATTTTAATGTTTACATTTTCATTTAACTATATTTTACTTGAAATGCTCAGAATTGTTTTCCAAAAATGATATTTCTTTGATTGGTCAATAGATCGAGAATAATATCCACTGTTATTATCTTTGTATTTGTGCCCTTCTTACTCAGTTATCGTCTCATAATAGAATTTGATATGAGTTGTGCTCATGGGATATTATTCCATATGGCACGTAATTTCTTGCCATTCTTTTTATTTTTTACATATGCTCAGAAACCAGTGGGTTGCTAGAATCAAAAATGCCATTCGCATTCAGACACTGCACACACACTTCAGCCATGAGGAATTATATGCATAATGTTCAGATGGTGCAAACATCTGATTTGTGGTAAACATTTTGTTTTAAATGAAGAATGATTTAAGACAAAAGTGGAAAGAACATAAGCTTATTCTTTTTATGCAGTATATTTACAGCTGAGGAATTCTGGTTTAATTGTAGACTTGTGCAAATGATTTTCAATTAATAATATCTGTGTTCTTTTTTTCTGGAACTAATTGATTTAAAGAAAGATCAGAGAGAGAGCAAAAACAGTTAGACTTGCAGAAGCCTTCAGTTCCCGCTATACCTCCGAAGAAACCTCGGCCACCCAAAGCAAACTCTGCGAATAGACCTGGTACCTTGCCCCCTAGACGACCAGAAAGACCAGTTGTGCCTGTGACTCACACAAGGTATTGTTTTTCCTCTGTCCAGTGCTTTTTGGATTAATGGAAGAAAACATATTTATAGAACTTAGATTTTGCAGCTAATGTCACCGTTTGTTTCCTGGTAAAACACATTTAAAGAACCTAGGGGAAAAAACCCCACCCTTCTAGTCATGTGGCTGTATCATAACTATCTTCTCAAGACTAGCGATTTTGGACTGCTCATTAATACTTCATTCCCACTGATGAACACGCAAATACTGAAATGTCATAGTTTCCACTGCAGAATGTGAAATTATGCCAGTGTTGACTTCTGCTACCTCATACTATTCCAGTTTAACTGGGGCACTAATTCAGTGCAAAAGCTTCGTTTCTTGTATTGAGGAACAGTATTAGACAATAGTCATTTCAAATATTGTCGGCCTGCATTCAGTCTGTTTTCCTTGATTGTTATAGATGAATTTTTAGCAAAATATGTGCTTCTTCACAGCATATCCTTTAAGCTGGTCTTGCTGCAGAACACTGCTTATCAAGTGACTTATGCTCCAGTGTGGTTCTCTTGTTATTCTGTAGTTGTATGAGGCTCTATGTCAGGGGTGATTACAGCCTTTGACACGCACTGAGGAGCTGGACTTTCCAACACAACTGTTAGATCCATTTATTAAAGCTGGGAAAAGATTGTAGAAATTAAATGCCTCACCTCTAGCCTTAATCAAGTCCAGATGGTTATATTATAGTCATCAGCTGGGCACTGTAGACTCCCTTATATGTCATGGAGAGAAATAGGCAAAAGACTCCTAGACGCCTAGAATATGGAGCTGCGTATCTTGCAGAAACAGTAGAAAGAAGACATATAAAAATGATGTTACTGTTGAACTGTTAGAACTATTAGCTGCCATCGAACTAATGGAGTTCAGGTATGCTATGTTAATAATGGTGGATTAAATACCAGAATGGAATATAGGATAGAGTGGAATAAAACAGAAATCCTAGGTACTGATTCCCCTCGTTGTTCCACATATGGTTCATTAAACAGACGCTCTCAGCATGAAATCTGAGACACGTAAAGTAAAGAGCTGGTGATTGCCATGTGCTGCCAGTTTCATCTTACTGAAGTGCTTTGGCTGTGCATCTCCAAGAGCTTACCCCTTGTCCGTGTGTTAGGGCCACAGCTTCTTTTGGCCACCTTGGCTTTGAATATGCTTGTTCAGTTTTTCTAAAATGTAGCCCACACCTGCTGATCACTTGGGCATGCTTGAGAAAGCAAGTATTTGCTATGGCCTTTAGATTTAGCCAAGTGATACCTTCATGGCAAGACTAGTACACATCCTAGTGTTCAGTTTGCTGGCCTGGCATGTAATGGTGTAGCTATTCTTTTGTTCTATGCTTCGCCTGGATTGCCACTGTAAATATCATTTTGACTAGAGCTGTGGGGTTAGCTGTTTTCTCTCTCTCCCGTTTTCCTTTTTTCTAACTAGGGACATGTGTAACTAAATAAGCCTTCTTTTATTTTTTTCAAATGTTTCAATTTTCATGTTAACTGTGTGAAAAAGCGTATCTAAACAGTAACTCTGTTTTTGTTGTTAATATCCAAATTCTGCTGGGTCTGGCAGAGGAAAAAAACTTCATTCTTTATGCCTAATACCATTATATTTGAAAGAGTTTTACTTGTGACAGTGATTAGATTAAAACTTAAGAAGGAAAGCTGACTTCTAAGGTGATGATGATGCTCTTCTGAAGGTCACAAGTGCTAGCAGCTTCACTGTGAATTTCTTTATCAGCTAATTCAAATTAATGGATTTATCTCATATAGCTGTTCTGTCCTGGTAAGCTCTAACCTGTATGGGTGTCTGATAGGAAGAGGGTGGGAAGTTCACATAGTTATATAACCGTTGGAATAGACTTGGAATTATTTGGATAATTAAGAGCTGTGTAACTTCAGCTGAAAGTGGTCATTTCCATAAGGTGTTTTGTACATTTTTTAAAGTCAGTTCAGTTTAGTAAGATAGTAACTATTTTAAGACCTTCTGGTATCCACTTCCAGAATCTGTAAGGCCTAAGGCAATCAGAATAAAAATAGAACCAGCAGAATTTTTTGCTGATTCTAGGGGGAAAAATTGCTGTAGATTTATACAGTGGTTCCCAGGAGATTTCCATTGCTGCTGGTTAGCAGAAAAATGTCTCTTGTGTTCTGAGTAAGTGCTGCGTATCTCATGCATCTCACTGTCTTTTTGTGGTAACGATGGTTTTTCCAAATATAATGCCCCTTCCTTAGAGGCAGGTTAGGACTTCAAGGGCAATGGGAGAGGCAAAAACCATGTGGGATAGAGAACAGCTGTCAATTTGCTCCAGAGGTTTCACAGCTTATCCAGACATAGAAGTGATTATACAGTTTACCGATGAGTCAATTCTCTGGGGTAGGCAAGTCATAAAGACCTACTGAAAATGCATTTTCACAATCGGTCTAGACCAATTTGGGTCTATGCCACTGTTGAGACGTGCGGGCTCCCTTTCC